CCATGAAGAAAATAACTTGAAGGATGTACAAGCATTCCGCTGCTGTAATGAATAACTGTCATTGATCGAGAATGGATGTCACTGTAACGAATGGGCCTACTGAACCAAGAAATCAAATCCTAGCAACCTGGCTCAGCTACAACATAACACTTTTTAATACAATCATATTCATAGTCCGGGCACCCTAACGCAAATATCGACAAGTGCAATCGAACGGAGATGGAGTCACAGAAGTGTTTGCGCACTTACTGTCCTCTGGAGGTGTGAACGAGGAGCGTCACTAAGGTGGACATGGCCGGACACACGCAGTTCAGTGCAAGCATGGCGTACTTGAATTCCTCTTCACATACGACGTGATCTGGAAATGCAGACGGTAGGGAAATAATTGGTAGGCACAGAATTGGATAGCCTTGTCATTCCAACAATAATTGAGTTAAAAATGGAAGGGAGAGCAAGCCTTTCTTCTCTTTACTTTGCTCTCTTTGCAGATGAGTTTTTTTTGTACAGTATATTTGAAAATAATGCCTTTCCAAAATTCCCCAGTTTGACTTCCATCGAAAAGTCCTGAAAACGTGCCAGAAAATGTACCAGAAATGTCCCACTCCACGATGGATTGATTATTTTCTTAAGGTGCCCATAGATTTTTTTTTCCAAAAAGGAAATCTGTAGGTACTTACCGGCAAATTTAACGTGGAATTTGTTTTCTGGCTTGAGAATCTGTACGTAGAGCGGACAGTTAGGAGCAAAGTCCTTTGCGGCCCAAGCCCTCAAAATAGTCTGATGGTCCTGTGGAGGAGAGGCACCCAAGTGAGTTCAACAGAAAACAATCATAAATAATCCAATAACTGCGTCGAGCAATGCTTTCCTCTGAGGTGCAAAGACACTTTTTAACAGTGTGTCGAGGTACAAAAAAATTAAAATAAATAAATTGCTCCATTGTGTGATGTGTCACAGTTTGAGTTTGACAAGTGGTTTTGTGACTTACTGCAGCAGTTCGGTCACCCTCATTCCTGCTGCTGAGGATGAAACAAGCCTCGGCATCGTCCATTCTGAAACAGATGGTTGACAATCATTAACAGCAACTAATTCTATATCACTAAAATGAGATTTCAGTGGTGCCTTGGTTGAACAGTTTAATTAGTCCCGTGATCAAGCTTGCAACTCAAAACACTTTTGCCTCTCAAATCTTTCCACATTAAAATGAATAGAAATGCTATTTATCTGTTCAAACCCTCGCTAAAACAGCAATTTTGTATGGCACTCTACGGTATTGCAATTTATAAAAAATATACACCACAGTAACAACATAATAAAATCAAATGAAAACAATCAAAACAGTTTGTGCATCATGATTTCATTCAACGATTGTGCGACTACTTCTGGTGTGTGTGACTTGACCAACAGGGGGCAGTATTATACATACACGTACATACATGAACCCCGAAAAAAAAACATGACGACTACTGTCACATTATTTCGAGTTTCTGATTTTAAACTGTTGCAGGTTTTGTTATATTAAAAAAAGGAGCACAGGCTTGATACAATGTAGCTTAAGATGAGATGTACCCGACATCTTTTTGATTCACTTGTCTCCTTGAAAAAAACTGTGAATTAACTGTTTTTTTTTTGTTTCTTTTTTAAATTGAAATTGATTGAATCAATCAATCAGTCGATCAATTATAGGTATGTTTCATCCGCAGAGAATTTGATACTTTCAAAGACAAGTTACATGTCAGCGGTGGCTAACGCGGCATCCTTGTAAGACTCACTTGGCCCTCATCAGGTCCTGGTCTTTGAGAGCGGATCCTTGAAGGTAGATGACCCTCTGGGACCACAGCGGTATCTGGAGAATGCGGCGAACCTGAATGTCTATATCGGTGGGACACAGGATCACCACGTAATAATCCTGCAAGACAGACGAAAGTCACGATGCTATAAAAAGAGTAAACACTCATCGAGCAATATGCAAAAAGACAAAGCCCGCTATTCGCTCTCTCTAAACTGTACCTGCAACCTGGGATGAGCATAGAACTCATTGAGGAAATCCATCAGCAGGTCTATCTTCAGCGAGCTGACACACAACACCACATGCTTCTCCGTCTGTGCTCGGTGGCGACTGTAGTTTCCGCCTAATTTCTGGCTCTCCATCCACAGGTACGCAAGCTCTTCAAACTGAAAAACAAAAATACGATTTTAAGGCCGAAAGACACGAAAAAGAACGAAGCAGCGAAGCCCCTCGAGACACCGGTGTTGACTTGCTACCTGCAGCGGGAGCACCACCAGGGCCACGCAGATGAGGATGACCACCAGTAGCTGTGAGGGCCAGATCTGAGGCGTCACATCTCCGTAGCCCACGGTGGAGAAGGTCACGATGCAGAAGTAAAAGGAGTCAAACAGGGTCAGGTGCTTTCCAGCTCTCTCTAGGTGCTGGATGCCACAAGCACTGAAGACAAATGGAACAACACAAATGTGCTCTCAAAAAAATGAGCCGAAGGAAGTTGCTTCTGTAATCAGAATCAAAGTCTCCATGATTGAAGTAGCGACGCCATTTACAAATTGACCGCTTGTATTAATACGATTTTTGGTGATTTAATGTGTGCGATGGGTCAACGCCACTTCAAAGCCGAAAAAAATGTAAAAGTCTACATTGCCGGCTATAGTGTCCCCACAAAGGAAAATAGAATCCGGCAATACCAAAACTAAGGTGAAGAATTAAAAAAAAAAAAAAAA